TCCATTCCAATGTCTCCTTGTAGGAATAGAGTTATATCTTGCTAAGACATTAACTGAAAAAGTTATGTCGGGCCTTGTAGTGTTAGCAAGATACATTAGTGCACCAATTGCACTAAGATATGATACTTCAGGACCAAGAAGCTCTCCATTCTTTTCTTGAGGTCAGAACGGGTCTTTATTCACATAAAGTGATCGAATAACCATCGGAGTACTTAATGGATGTGCTCCATCCATGTAAAACCATTTCAATACCTTTTCTATGTAGGTAGATTGATGAACAAAAATCCCGTTTGTCAAATGTTCAATTTACAAACCGCGTCATAATTTTGTCTTTTCGAGATCTTTCATCTCGAATTCCTTCTTTAAATAATCAATTGTCTTTTGGAGTTCTGTAGGAGTTTCAATAAGGTTTATGTCATCAACATATACGGCAAGTACAACAAACTCCGATGTTGTTTTCTTTATAAAAACACATTGACAAATGGCATCATTTATATAACCTTCCTTTAATAAATATTCACTAAGGCGGTTATACCACATTCTTCCTGATTGCTTTAGACCATATAAAGATCTTTGCAATTTGATTGAAAATATTTCCCTGGACTTTGAATTATGTGTGTCAGGCATTTTAAATCCATCAGAAATTTTCATGTATATCTCATTATCAAGTGAGCCGTAAAGGTAGGCTGTAACCACATCCATTAAATGCATGTCAAGCTTTTCATGGACAGCAAAACTAATGAGATAACAAAACGTTATAGCATCCATAACAGGAGAATACGTCTCTTCATAATCGACACCAGGCCTTTGTGAAAATCCTTGTGCAACAAGGCGTGCCTTATATCTTTGTACCTCATTTTTCTTATTCCTTTTACGTACAAAGACCCATTTATAGCCAACAGATTTAACACCATTATGTGTTTGGAATACAGACCCAAAAACTTCACGTTTCGCAAGTGAATCCAACTAGATTGGATTACTTCTTGCCATTTTGGCCAATCACATCTTTGTCGACATTCTCCAACGGATAATGCTAGATGCAACATTATATGCAAATACATAATCCACAACTATATTCAATCGATTCAAATCTGTCTCAAAATCGATTGGGTTTATTGATAGTTCCTTATTTTCTTGAGTCTCAGGCTCATCGATATCCTCATGAATTTCAGGATTGGTTAAATCATGGGTTTCTTTACGAGACTCTTTCGTAATGTCATCTTGATCATTTATTTTTATTTTTCTAGGATTTCGATCCTTAGAACCCAATGGCCTGCCACGCTTTAGGCGTGCTTTTGACTCATTAGCTATGACACTAGAAGATTTTCCAACAGGGACATCAATACGGATTGGAACATTCTCTGCAGGGATATGTGATTTCATTATCCTTTTCAAATCCGTAAATGCATCTGGCATTTGATTTGCTATTTTCTGCAAATGGATAATCTTTTACACCTCTTTTTCATAAATAGAGGCACGTGGATCAAGATGAGATAATGATGGATTTTCCCACAAAATTTTTCATTTGATTTCACCAATTTCTCCCCCTAATTTTGGGGAAAATACCTCATCGAATCGACAATCTGCAAATCGAGCAGTGAACAAATCTCCCGTTAATGTTTCGAGGTAGCAAATAATAGAGGGTGATTCAAACCCAACATATATTCCTAACCTTCTTTGGGGACCCATCTTGGTGCGATATGGCAGTGCTACAGGCACATATACAACGCATCCAAAAATTCTTAGATGGAATATATTAGGTTCATAACCCAAAACTAATTGCAACGCGAAATATTTATGATACTTTGTCGGTCTGAGATGAATTAGCATTGCTGCATGCAAAATGGTATGACCTCAAACAGAAGTGGGTAATTTCGTTTTCATGAGTAACGGTCTTGCTATCAATTGTAGACGTTTAATCAAAGACTCTGCAAGGCCATTTTGAGTGTGAACATGAGCTACATGATGTTCCACTTTTATCCCAATTGATAAGCAATAATCATTAAATGCTTGGGATGAAAACTCAGCAGCATTATCAAGTCGAATAGACTTAATTGGATTATCGGAAAACTGTGCCCGTAATCGAATTATTTGTGCCATTAATTTTGCAAACGCCAGGTTGCGAGATGACAATAGGCCCACATGAGACTATCTAGAATATGCATCTATTAAGACCATAAAATATCTAAACGACCCACTAGGTGGGTGAATAGGTCCACAAATATCCCCTTGTATACGTTCCAAAAACGCAGGGGACTCAATCCCAACCTTTGTTGGTGATAGTCTAATAATCAACTTTCCTTGATAACAAGAAGTGCAAGAAAACTCATTATTTAAAATAATTTTTAAATTCTTTAATGGATGCCCATTTGAGTTCTCTACAATTCGTCTCATTATAATTGATCCAGGATGTCCCAATCGATCATGGCAAAGTACAAAAGTATTGGAATTAGAAACATTTTGGTTTACGATAGAATGTGCCTCAATTGCACTAATTCTTGTCCAATACATGCCACAAGATAAAGATGGGAACTTCTCAATAATCCTTTTCTGGCCAGAGACATTCTTGGTAACGATGAGATATTCGAGATTATTCTCATCTATTGTCTCAATATGAAATCCATTTTGACGGATATCTTTAAAACTCAACAAGTTCCTCTTGGACTTGGAGGAGAACATTGCATTCTCTATGATAAGTATTGTTCCCTTAGGCAGAGTTATATTAGCTCTTTCAGAGCCTTCAATTAGATTACTACTACCAGAAATTGTAGTAACATCTGCCTTATACATACTTAAATAAGAGAAATATTTCTTCTCTTTGAATATTGTAAGTGTTGTATATAAATCAATTAAGCAAATATTTTTACAATTGAACTTTGATCCAAGTTTGCTTTGAAAGATATCCATATTTATTTCCCATGATTTGACATACAAAAGAAGTATATGAATAGATATTAGTATTTTTAGAGGAAAAAAAAAAGAAATAAAGTTAAACCAATAATTCAATAGTGACCTTTTAATGCATTTTCTAGCAAATTTTAATTATTATACAAATAATTACACAGCAAAAATAATACAATTATAAGTACATGAAAAAAAAAATAAGGGTGAAGTAACAAAAGTTGTTCCAGGGTGCTTGTAAACCTCTTCTTAAAGAGAATTAAAGTAACGTAAAGAAAAATCAAAAGGAATTAAAAGATTAGTGAGATTAGAACACTAATTACTTAGATATTACTCCTTGTTTGTGAAATTTATGAAATTTAGAAAATACATATATTTTTAAAAACTACATAAGAAGTATTATTAAGTGCAATAAAAATTACAAGATATTTATTTATTAGATACTACGAATAGGAAAATATAAAAATCAAAATGCTCAATCATCGTTAACCATCACCGATCGAGTGATTTATTTTTCCATCAGGGTGCTCAAAAATATCTGTCATATCCAAGTGGGTGATGTCAAATTCATTATCATAGATAAAATTAGCTTCAGGAGCTTTATCCTTTAGAGATGCTTGATAAAGCTCAACCAAATGTTTTGATATGCGATAAATATTTGCCCAATACCCTTTTCCACCGCAACGATAACATTCAGTTTCTGAACCATTTGCCCTTGGCCCTTTCCATTTTTGGTGGTTATTTTTCTTTAGGGGGTGATTAACACCAGGAAAATTTCTTCCTTGGCCACGGCCACGACCACGACCATGAACAGGGCCACGATCTTTTCCACGCTTAGAATAATGGGAACACACCTCATTCACTTCAAGCAATGGCGTAGTCCCAGTGGGTCGATTTTCGTGATTTCTCATGAGCAAGTCATTGTTTCGTTCAGCCATAAGGAGAAGAGAAATCAACTGAGAATACTTTTTGAAACCTTTCTCTCGGTACTGGTGTTGCAAGACCATATTGGAGGCATGAAACGTTGTGAACGTCTTTTCAAGCATATCATAATCAGTGATAGTATCTCCACAGAGTTTCAATTTATAAGTAATTTTGAACATCGCAGAATTATATTCAGAAACAGACTTAAAGTCTTGGAGCCTCAGATGAGCCCAATCATATCGTGCTTGTGGAAGAGTGACCAACTTTAAGTTGTCATATCTTTCCTTTAAGCCATTCGACAAAATAAGTGGATCTTTGACTGTGAGATATTCTATCTTTAACCCTTCATCAAGGTGATGGCGCAAGAAAATCAAGGCCTTAGCACAGTCTTGGGTAGATGCTTTATTTTTGTCTTTAATGACGTCTCCAAGACCCATTGCATCTAAATGGATTTCAGCATCCAACACCCATGTCATATAGTTCTTGCCCGAAATTTCAAGGGCAACGAACTTTCTTTTCATAATATCAGTCATAATTAAAAGAGGAGAAAAGTTATACCTTAGTCTTCTCAAAGAGCTTCTTGAGACGGTAGAGTCTCGTGCTGATAACGTGTTATAAAATATAACTCAAAGTAACAATATGGAACAAGAAAAAAACAAGCTAAGAGATATATGGAGAAAGATAGAAGAGATTCTTATTTCTTCTTTAAATGTGTGTATTTTCCTATCTATTACAAGGCCTTTATATAGGCATGAAAAGTGAAAAAAATATGTCATTGAATATGTCATTAAGCATTTGAGATGAAGATCATAGAGGAAGAGTAGACATCCATCATAATTTGATATTTCTTATAACATTTACAAATTACACTAGAGTTAAGCTTTTTAATAGACAATAGTTACACAAAAATCTATATCCTCATGCTCATACCAGTCGTAGCTGAGTATCATAATAAGCGCCAATAAGACCTAAAGAATATTTTGTCAAAGAGTTAAAGTTTTATGAAGCAAGCTAGCACAGTAATGTTGGAAAGTTGGGGGTAGAGTACATTTTCATGAAGACCCCACCAAGATATGCGCCAATAATACCACCGAATGCCTTTATGGTACTAGTGTGCCCCATAAGTCGTGGTTTATCATTAGTCCGATGGTTTTGAAAGTATTTACACAATCATGTCACTTATAAGATAAGTATAAGTAAATTTTTATGATAAACATTAATTAGTAACTTGGTAAAATAGCAAGAGTAACATACTATCATAAGTTAATTAAGCTACATTGATAGTGCAAAAAGTCTTTGCACTATGTCACTGTATATGACTTTACGTCCTCTATTAAATACTAATGTATAGCACTAATTTGAACTCCTTTCCGACCAATATTGAAATCCCCGAGATTTCCATAGTAACAAACTGTCCACTCGGTTCAATATTTTTCATCATTCTTGTGCTCCCTTGCTGGTCTGATCCCATGCAACCAACAAGCTCATAGCCCTTCAATTCTCTCACATTTTTCAATCCCAATAGTGTTACCTTTTCAAGGACTAATCCTTGATCCAGTGCGTATCCTCCATTCACAACCTCTGATTTAACCATAATTTTATTGCCGATGATGTTGCTGTTAAACCTGACTATTGTCCACCTTCCTCCATCTCTTCCCATCTGCACCTCATCATCGTCGTCCACAAATAGTTCTCCAGTGCTGTTTCCGCTGCTGCTCAGCACGACAAGGAGCTTGAATGCAGTCCTCCTAGCACCTTGTGTTGTCATTGCTTCCCCTTGCATGGCCAATATGTTCCCTTCACGAACGTGTACATTTATATGATTTGGTGGTGCATCAAGTGTCATAAATTTTCCTTGATTCAAACTCACGAAACGAGAGTAATTGAAGAGGTCAAACCAGTTTCCAGCAGGGAAATATGCCTCAACTGAGGTTGCTCCTTGCTTAAGTACAGGTGAGATCATGACACCTTTACCAAGAAGGAACTGTGTGCTGATATCATATGTGTTGGTGTCTTGAGGGAAAGAGAAGAAAAGGGGCCGTGCAATGGGAGTCCCTTTTGTATGTGCCTCGTACATCAGCATGTAAAAGTGTGGAAGTAGCTGATATCGGAGCCCAAGGACTTTCTTGGCTGCTTCAGCAACTGACTCCCAAATATAGAGCTCCTGGCGGGTAGTGTCATGAGCAGAGTGGTCTCTTGCAAATGGATAAAATGCTCCAAGCTGCACAAAACTAATCTTTCTCAATCTACTTAGAATTCAAGGCAAAAGGGGCACAGAGTATTATGATCATATTCTGCTTCTAATGCATCAAATACTACATTTATATACTCAAAATTCTAAAGTGAACTATTTGAGAATGGATTTTCTTTGGTTCATTACAGTTTATCATGCACTGCTAGCAGTTCAACCAAATTAGCAAAATCTTTTTATACAATTCTCAAGATTTTACCATATTGCCAATCCCATGCTCTTAACCCCCCCAAACCAAAAAAAAAAAGGACTAGGATGACCTCTACCATTTCCCTACTTTGTGGGATTACAATGGGTTTGTTGTTGTTGTTGATGACAACCTCTACCATTGGCCTAAATTTCTAGCTTGAGAGAGGCAAAGTTTGCAGACAAAGTTCCAAACATGAATGTACCTGAATCCAGCGGCGACAAAGCTCTTCAGTAGTATTCCCTGAAAAACCACATATATCTGCTCCAATCATTGGAATTCCAAATAGTCCAAAACTTAAGATAGTAGGAATGGAGTATGCCAAATCATTCCAGGTAGCAGCATTATCTCCAGTCCAGTGTGACGTATATCTGCCAGAGCCAAGAAAAGTTGATCTTGCAAGAATGAATGGTCTTTTACCAGTGGCATTAACCAAAGCGTTATAAGTAGCTCTGGATTCTAGTAATCCATAAAGGTTATGGACATTATACTCCATAGTATTTCCAAAATGTGTGGAAGTGGCTGGAACTGTTCTATAATTGATGGACAAGTGATCACCAGAGTTGTTTATCTTATAGGGAGGGTCATCATTGGTTGCCGATGGTATAGGAGGGGAAGTTATGAAATTAGATAGTTCATTCATGTCAAGCCACAGACCATCAAAAGGTACGAGATCGTGGAACTTCTCAATTTCTTTTCTCCAAAATATTCCACTAGCTGGATTTAGAAAATCAGGATAGTAAACGTTCCCTGGCCAAACAACCCCTTGATAGGGCATATTATCGCGTTTTATGAAGACATCTTCTTCCATGCCTCTCCTATAGGTGTCATATGTATTATTGATACTAATACCTGCAGTAGAAAGAAAGAAATTCAAAATAACACTTCTTTCGCGATGATGAGGAGTCATACTCTAATCTAATTTAGCTAGATAAATAAGAGAATTAATATAATAAAGTAAACAGGAAATTGTTAGAAGTTACCTGGATCTAATATAAGTACGTATTTCTGACCACTCTGATGGAGCTTCCTGAGAAAAATTTTCACCCGATCCAATGGGAAGTTAACTGGATCAAGTGTGAAGTCCTTAAAACCATCCATGTAATCAATATCACTCCACATAACCTCCAGGGGGATACCAGCCTTTGCATAACTATCCACTACCAGTTCAACATCATCAATGTTCTTGTAACCCCACCGGCATTGGTGAAAACCTATATCCACATACAAAAAACTACTCTGAAACACGTGAAAGTATTTGCAAGTGTAATAGCTGTTTCGTAAAGAACGAAGATTGAAGCAGAGTATCTAACGGAAAGAGCTTGTAAGTAAGCAAATGTTTATTAGCGGGTCACAAACTTTAATTTCGATCAGTATAGGAATGATAGAGTTTGAGGTATATTCTTAAATTTCTTCTTGATGCTCACCACAATTTTCAGAGCAAGGTCATCTTTTAAAATGTGACAATTTATAGTGAACAATTTCACATTTAACTAAATGTTGTAGCTTTTGTTCATACTTCTCTTTAGCAAGAAAATGATCCTTTGTTATCCTCACTAAGAACTGGTGGCAGGTTATCCAGACTGAGTAATGCAACCTACATAAATTAAGCTCACAGGCCATAGTTGAAGCTCTATTTAATGCCTTTCTCCACCTGTGTGTCTTAGGTTCATCTCAAGGTAGGATGTAAGTAGTAAGTACTGACCAGGTATATTCACTCATTTCTTAATGCTGGTTTAAAATCAAACTAAGATATTTACTTTTAACATTTATAAACTCAGATTGAATAGTTTTTACACTACTGGATCATTTCAAAGCTAATTACAGATAACTTTTTATAGTAAATGTGGATTGTTAAATTAGTCTGAAAGTGTAAAGTGTAACACTTTCATCATAAAAGAAAATAATTGAACGGAAAAAAAAAAGAAGAAAAGAAAGTTATAGGGGAGTTGTAATTACCAAAAGACCAATATGGCATAGCAGCAGGACGACCAGTAAGCTGCGTATACTGATCCACCGCCATTTCCGGCGAAGGTCCGGCAAAGAAATATAAATCAATCAACCCTCCGATCATTTTATAGCTGATCCTATCACCCGTACACACAATATCCATGCCATTGCTATTCAGAAGCAAAACCCCATGACTAACTCCGGCGGCCGTTTCATTCGCCGACGACCGGACGTCCATGTAAAAAGGATGGGACCCATAGAGATTAAGGTCCACGTTGGAACTGCCAATGTCAGCATTCCACAGAGTCAAAGTCTGGTTGTGCGTGAGCTTAAACGTGCTTTTTGTGTGCTCTCCAAGGCAGTAGAGGTTGGCTCTGGTGGTTGGTAATGAGGAGGAGATTTGAATGTACTGGTCTTTGAATATGAGGAATGTACTGTCGGGGTTTTGGTGCTCCGGCGATGTGTCAAAGAGAGTATCGCCGGTGGAACGCCGGCGGATGGTGAAACTGAAAGGGGTAGTGTTGTGGAGGGTGAATTCTAGGTCTGAGTTTTGGTTTGAGAGGGTGGTTGAGGAGTGGTTTTCTGACGAGAAGTGGGTGGTTGAAGGCCGAGACGGCGGTCGTGGACGGTGGAGGATTTCTTCCGGCACTTCCCACCGTTGGTGGTTAGCGTCATTTATTCGTATTCGGAGACGGTCGTTTGTTTCCAAACTGTAACAGAGGGAGAAATGAGAAAACGAATTAATAATTCAATGTATTTATTACAAAATAATTACTACCAATTACATATAATTCACTACGTAAGATACTTTAGCCCGTTTGGATATGAAAAAAAAATTCGTTTTTTTTTTACTTTTTTTCGAAATTAATGTTTGGCCAACAAATTTTTAATTTTCACTTGAAAATAAATTTTAAAATTTTTTAAAAATTTTAAAAACTCCAAAAAGATCCAAAAAGCTATTTTTCAAAATTTTCACTCAAATCACTCTCAAATATTCAAAAATAAACCAAAATTATATTTATGTCCAAACACAACTCTAATTTTCAAATATTATTTTTACTAAATATCACTTTTTTCATAATTTTACCATTCTTATGTCCAAACGCCTACTTAGACAAAGGCAATAAAAAATACAATACTAATTGATAAGTAACTTGAAAAATTATATCTGATTTAAAAACGTAAAAATAACATAAATCTTTTTAGAGGAAGATAATGTATCTTTCCAATTAGCATAAGCTCAATTTTGCTTTTTGTAAATAGACAAAAATTCAGTTTAGTTTATGCAACAATTTGACTAATTCATCAAAATAAGTTTTTTTTTTTTTTGACACACAAGGCTAACTAGGCAAATTATGGTTTTGATATCCATTAAATTTGGAGTTAAGTTAAAAATTAGAGATTAAGTATATAGTTATTAACACTTTAAAACTGCACTTAAAGTTGAAATAAAATATAGTGGTATCATCTAGTAAGTACTTATAAGACTGAATTGAGTAATATTCATATCTAATCATTGATGTTAAATTTGAATTCAAGTACATGTATTAACGATGACATAATAAGTTAATCATGTTTTCCGAACAACTGGAACTTAAAAACAGTAAATTAAATAGTATGTATTTTGTAAAATTCTACTTTGTAATAATGTTAAGGGAAGAATGATCCCAAGAAAGATTCGGCTCCTGAATGACTTTTTCTTTTTCTTTTCATTGTTTTCTTTAACTCTCTCTCTCTTTTCTTTTTTTGTTTAATCCCACGTATATATTTTTTAACACACTCACTGTCACAGGATTTGTCTTGCGAGGGAACAATACTCATATAACGAGAATTGGGAAAATGACTTATATAGCCGCTCCCAAATATTAATTAATATATTATATATAAAAAATATATAAATTTATACAATTTTGCTACTATCGAATATAAATAATTTCGGATGCTAATAAATAATCTTGCCCGCAAGAATTTGCCTTCTAATTTAAGTAGTCATTTTCCTTTCTCTGAAAAAAAGAGAAGATATACATTAATGTTCGTAACCATACTAGAAAGAGAAAAATCACCTTGCAATTAGGATAAGAGTCTGAATGTCAGGCCCAAAAACAGAAGAGTTGTTAATGAGTTGAAGATGAGCAAAAAGTGAATTTCCAGTGGAATCTAAGGCCACAGATGTGATTAAGTAACCATAGCCAACTTGTTGCTGAGATTCTTGCTCTTTAATGGATACTACAGAATGGGGTGAAAGGATTGATAACTCTAGCAAAAGGAAGACTAAAAAGAAGGTGTTTCTGAGTAAAGATGGAAACAGTGTTGGTTTCATTTTCTCTACGGAGGAAGAAGAGTGCAATCTCATCTGCCTTGGCTTTGGGAAAGTGGTCATCTTATGTTTGGTTTTGTGGAAAAAACTAAACGTCACTTTCCAGATTTGATATAATTACAACGACAACTCAGTATAATTTCACTAGTGGGGTCTGGGGAGGGTAGTGTGTTACGCAGACCTTACCCCTGCCATGAGTATAATTCCACTTAACAACAACCCACTATAATTCCACTACACTAGTGGGGTCTGGGGAGGGTAGTGTATTACATAGACCTTACCCCTACCATGAGATAGAGAGGCTGTTTAGACCCTCAGTTGATTGGAAGTAAATGTTGCTTACCATCAGAACAACCCCTCATATCTAATACTAACTAATAAAAAATTAGTGATCTTTCTTTACGGTGAAATAAATTACTTATGAGTTAATTTGATTTTTTGTACTCGTCGAAAAAGCATCTTTGTCGGTGTGTCAATCTAAATTATCAATTGTAGTGTATTTTTATTTTTATATAAAAATAATAAAAATAACTCGTGCAACCATAGCATTTAAAATTTGATTTGTATTTTTTGTTTTCCTCATTATGATCCATAATCATTCTAATGCTTTTATTAATTTTGTTTTTCACAAATTATCTTATATATATATATATATAAAAATAATATACAAATGAAAAACATAACCTATACTTTAGATATAAATATTTTATTAGTTTTAGGGTACGCGAGTTGCGCGTATAATTATATTAATAAGAATAAACTTTTTGAAAATAACATAAATAATATTCAAAAAATATTTTTGAATTGTAAAATAAAATTAACAAAATAATGTTTTTAATAAATAAATATTGGTCGTATTTATATTTAAGGCTTTGGATTAACTACAAACTTCGGCTTTAAACTGATTTTTTTTAAAAGAGAAGTCTCTTAAATAATCACTATATAAAAAATAATTCTTACCATTATCCTTTCAAACAAAGCCTTGCTAGGAATTTAGTAGCTCAGTTGGCTTCTCATTCCCCTTCTCCTAACCCCAATGTAATAAAAAAAAAATGAAGCCTAAAATCTTGATTTTAAAACCCAAAATATTACTTCCCAACATCCTAAATATTAGTAGAAATAACGTGGTATAGCCACTTTTTTAAGTGGTATTTACTTTTTAGCCAGTGTTTTTTAATGTTGAGCAAAAATAGCTACTACTCTATTAAAATTGATGCGAAAAGTCTTTTTTACCCTTTCTTCATGAGTGATGTGTAAATATTAAGGATATGGTGTCCTTAACTTCATGAGTGATGTGTAAAATATTAAGGACACTATGTCTTTAACATGTACATTGCACACATGAAGTTAAGGACACCATGTCCTTAACATTTATAATGCACATATGAAGTTAAGGACATGATGTCCTGAAGTTTAACAACAGAAGTTGTAAATACAAGTTAATAATATTATGTCCTTAACATTTACATTGCACACATGAAGTTAAGGACATGATGTCCTGAAGTTTAACAACAGAAGTTGTAAATACAAGTTAATAATATTATGTCCTTAACATTTACATTGCACACATGAAGTTAAGGACACCATGTCCTTAACATCTACACTGCACATATGAAGTTAAGGACACCATGTCATTAATATTTACATTGCACATATGAAGTTAAGGACATGATGTCCTAAAGTTTAACAACAGAAGTTGCAAATACAAGTTAATGATATTATGTCCTTAACATTTACATTGCACATATGAAGTTAAGGACTCCATGTCCTTAACATTTACACAACACATATGAAGCTAATGACATCATGTCCTTAATATTTATACATCACTCATGAAGTTAAGGACACTATGTCCTTAACATTTACATTGCACACATGAAGTTAAGGACACCATATCCTTAACATTTACACTGCACATATGAAGTTAAGGACACCATGTCCTTAATATTTACACATCACTCATAAAGTTAAAAATACTATGTATTTAATATTTACATTGCACACGTGAAGTTAAGGACACCATGTCCTTAATATTTACACTATACATATGAAGTTAAGTACATGATGTCTTAAAGTTTAACAACAGAAGTTGCAAATACAAGTTAATGATATTATGTCCTTAACATTTATATTACACACATGAAGTTAATGACACCATGTCCTTAACATTTACACTGCACATATGAAGTTAAGGACATGATGTCCTAAAGTTTATCAGCAGAAGGTGCAAATATATGACACTTTGTCCTTAATATTTACACATCACTCATGAAGTTAAGGACACTATGTCCTTAATATTTACAATGAACACATGAAGTTAAAGACACCACGTCCTTAATATTTACACTGCACATATAAAGTTAAGGACATGATGTCCTAAAGTTTAATAACAGGATGTGCAAATACAAGTTAAGGACATTATGTTTTTAACATTTACATTGCATACATGAAGTTAAGGACACCATGTCCTTAACATTTACACTATACATATGAAGTTAAGGACATGATGTGCTAAAGTTTAACAATCGAAGTTGCAAATACAAGTTAATGATATTATGTCCTTAACATTTACATTGCACGCATGAAGTTAAGGACACCATGTCCTAAACATTTACACTGCACATATAAAGTTAAGGATATGATGTCCTAAAGTTTAGCAGCAGAAGGTGCAAATACAAGACACTTTGTCCTAAATATTTACACAACATTTATAAAGTTAAGGACACCATGTCCTTAATATTTACACAATACATATGTCTAGTACATGGGTATTTTTGTCCGGCGGGTAAAAATTTATTAAGCACTGGCTAAAGAGTAAATACATTTAAAACAATGGCTAAAAAGTAAAGACATCTCTAATAAGTGGATATCTGTGCACTTCCCCAAAAAGTGGATATAAGCATTAGTGTTTAAAACTAATAAGATAGTGAAAGAGATAATTAGACACTTACAACAAACTTTATGTCCATAATTTGTGTAGTCCATCAGACCGTTCTGATATGAATAATAAAATTTAAAACTATACATATAAGCACAGTGAAAGACAAGTAACAACATTCCTTGCATATTAGTTTTTGTGGGAATAATAGGGTGGAGTTATTTGTGTTTCTAGAATTAATCGGTTAGAATTTATTATAAAGAATAAAGACTCCTAAACTTAAAGGAATTCTAAGTTCGAAAGTTTCTACTTTGATTTTCTTATGGGAGTGCTTGTGCTCTGCACGGGCGCCCGATGTCACTATTCCTTTCACAATTAAACCAACTACTTTAAACTACCTTTAACTTCATAATTTTGTAGGTAAGACCAGCAATATAAGTGTAAACAAAGGAATTTAAGTGAACTTTAAGAATAATAATAAGCTTGTTTAGTGAACAAATTATCACTAACTCAATTATATAAAAAAAATTACAGTTTTACATTCTTATAATTCAAGAGCTCATTCACATTGAGATCACAAAGCATTTCCCAGATGATCCATTCTCCAATGAGTCCTCATGCAAAGTAGCAATTCACTTCATCGCGGGTGTTTGATAGGATAAAACGACCAACTTTATTTGAGAGTACAACATCGAATATTTGTAGGAGCTTTGTAATGAAGTGAAACTGAAATTTTTTTCAAAACTTCTAAGTTCAAATGTACTAATAGATATGAAATTTTGAATGAGCAGGAATGACAATGTATTAACTTGATAGATAATAGCACAGTCGACCTAATTGTTATATCTGAATGATATTTCTTGTACCTGTTAAATGTTTCACCATATGGCTAGATTTGTTTCCAATAATAATATTCATAACCTTAAAATCAACTAGATATAAAAACTGAATGGTGAGAAAGTAAAATTTAGCTCCTAAATCTCTTAGGTTCACACTATTCGGTGCAACAAACTTTGCTAGAGGTCCTTTAGATTTATCGAGACCCATCTCAATCATTGTCTCCTTGCATTTTTTTGCGGATAAAGTTTCACTACTTGCAACTACAACATAAAAAGAGAGACAGTAGACACACAACATTTTCAAATTAAGACTTTCCTATTCTGTCCTCTTTCAATAACTAACGTTTATACAATTATGGCACATAAAGCAGAAAAAGGAGGATTAATTTTGAAAAAACAGATGACATTTTTATCTTCCATCATTATCACCTCTCTACATCTTCTACACATAGTCATAAGAGAAGCAAACTCGATAGACAGTACATAGACCCGGCACTATGGTAAACAAATGAGTAGCGGAAAAACAGAATGTGTAATCATAAAAATATGCAAAGGATATTTTCCAAAAAAAAGGACTTATTGAACTCCTTCCCCAATAATATCTTGCATCAAAACGTCTCAGAACCAGAAGTGATAGAGACATATAAGATGCCGCATGTTCAAATACAAGGGTTGCACCAAACCAGAAAAGTGTCAAAGGAAAAAACGATGGTCACAACATCTTATGGCAATTTCTGCCAAGAAGTTTATATCCACTCCTTTAAGAGCACTAATCTGTTAAAACAAAAGAAATCCATAAATGTTGATGTAATTTATTTCAAGGACATAGAAACGATGCATAATGACCACAAATAGAAAGTCTAAACACAAAGATACATGTTAAAGTATTTATTAGACAATATACGTTTCTTAAGCCCATCTTTGTGTTCGATATTTATGGGGTATGCATGAAGCTGAATCCAGGTTGCGGGGTTGAACTGATCCACATCCACTGTTAAGAACCTCCATCAAATTAGTTAGATGCAGTGATGAATATGCATTACATTAAATAATAACTTTATAGATTAGTTTCCATTTACACAATTCTCACACTAACTTCACTTGTGATAAACCTAGCAGAGATGGTCCATTGTATGTCGAGGAGATAAAATATACAAACATAAATATTGTCATGCTCCAAATTCCCTAGCAGATATTTTTCTGTTCAGGATTAAAACATAATGTGCCTAGACAGCGACTTCATGTGAATCATAGAGTACCGCAAATAGATGCACAGTTATGTGAAGATCATGAATAAACTACTATTTTTACATGTAAGTCGTGATGCACCTTGAGA